TGCGCTGCCTGTCAGTGATGCCTGTCAATGCCCATCAGTGCCACCTACCAGTGCCTCCTCATCAGTGACACCTATCCGTGTCCATCAGTGCATCCTATCAGTGCCCATCACTGCAGCCTCATTAGCGCACATCAGTGAAGGAGAAAAATCACTTATTTACAAAATGTTATAACAAAAACTAAGAAAAAAAAGTTTTTTTTTTTTAAATTTTCAGTGGTTTTTGGTTTGTTTAAAAAAAAAAGAAAAAAAAATAACCCAGAGGTGATTAAATACCACCAAAATAAAGCTCTATCCGTCCCCAAAAAATGATAAAAATTTCATATGGGTACAGTGTTGCATGACCCACGCAATTGTCATTCAAAGTGCAACAGCGCTGAAAGCTGGAAATTGGCCTGGGCAGGAAGGGGGTATAAGTGCCCTGTAGGCTAGTGGTTAATGTGCAAATCTAGTATATGAAATCTTCCCTTTTTTTTTTTTTTTTTTTTTTTTAACAAATATATTGAATTAAACTGTTTTTCTTTCTGCAGCCCCGTTATACTCCCTCTGCTCCGTGGTAAGATTTGACATATTAAACATGTCAGACAGTGAACCCAGTCCTGCAGCAGAGCCAGCATCTGATAATGAACGCGGCCAGGACAGTGATAAGGTAAGCAAATCTAAATACCTGATAGAGCCCACAGACAAGAACCAAGGCCCATGGCCAAGGTCTACTGAGTATACTGGGAGGAGAACAGGGGAAGTTTCTTGTGCTTGGGCATCTATAGACATTACTGCACTAAAAACTGCAGCTCAAAAACGCTGCAGTTTTTTTTTTTCTTTGCCTGGAAGTTCAGCTGCATGTTAGCCGATGTTTTCATGCACACGCTAGGCATTTTTAGGGGTTTAGTGGCAGGGGGGAAAAAACATGAATGAAGCTTTTGAGTATAAATCTAAAAGAAAAAAAATAAAAAAGGTTCAAAAGCCTGTTAATGTGCATTCCTGCGCTAATGAATTCTAATGGCCAGAATTGTAGCCTATAGAAGGCATTAACGCCGGATGCTCATGCAAAAATGCATTTTTTTTACTATGTTTTTAATGCTGCAAACTCCTGTAGGGGGAAAAAAATGTTTTTAAGCTAACAGTGTGCATAAGGCTTTAAATTTATATAAACCCAAAGACAAACATGTATTGTATTGCAGTTTACCAATCCCCAAATGTGATGGTGGTGGCATTTTCTTTTTTCCTTTATTTTCACCTTGTGTTCCTGCCGGTAGCACATCTTCCTGTCCTACGGTGACAAAACTCTGTGTACTGTATTTATGGAAGATCAGCTTCATCAAAGTAGGATAGGACTAAAGCTGGCAATACGTGTATCTAACAGATTTATCCATACACATTAAATGGTGCAGATGGACAAATCTACTGACAGCTTTGATAATGTCACCGCCGGCTGTTATAATACCCGAACAATGTCTTCATCTGATTGGATGCATGCACTGTTCAGCTGACAATTTTTCTGTCGGTCCTCTTCATTTTTCCAAAGGATGTTGGATGGGAGGTTCCGGCAGGGCCCCTCCACTTTCGAATTTTGTCTGGTTCATTAGGAACTGGCTGAAATTCACTCAAGCATGGGCAGTTTATGAACGCTGCCCTCCCTTCTCCATTATGCAGTGAGGAGGTGTTCTTTAGGCCATTGATAAAAATGCAGCAGAGGCAGATTGTGTGGTTTGATATTAATACTGTTGTCAGAGGTCTAACTTAAGATCTTTACAGGGGAATCGGGACCTCCTTCCTCCTGCTGTTGATCCCTCTAGTGATAACTAAAGATCTGTACTGTAGAAGGGAATCCGGACCTCCTTCCTCCTGCTGGTGATCCCTCTAGTGATAACTAAAGACCTATACTGTAGAAGAGAATCGGGACCTCCTTCCTCCTGCTGGTGATCCCTCTTGTGATAACTAAAGATCTATACTGTAGAAGGGAATCAGGACCTCCTTCCTCCTACTGGTGATCCCTATAGTGATAACTAAAGACCTATACTGTAGAGGGGAATCAGGACCTCCTTCCTCCTGCTGGTGATCCCTCTAGTGATAACTAAAGATCTGTACTGTAGAGGGGAATCAGGACCTCCTTCCTCCTGCTGGTGATCCCTTTAGTGATAACTAAAGGCCTATACTGTAGAAGGGGAATCGGGACCTCCTTCCTCCTGCTGGTGACCTCTCCAATGATACATAAAGATCTGTATAGTTCAATCAGGACTCCCTTCCTCCTGCTGGTGATCCCTTAATAGAAAGAAGGTGGATGTGTATTTTACATTAGTAGAAACTGTCTGTTCTTCTTCCTCTTCTTCCTCTTCCTTTTCTTCTTCCTCTTCTTTTCTTCTTCCTCTTGCCTTTCTTCTTCCTCTTCTTTTCTTCTTCCTCCTCCTTTTCTTCTTCCTCTTCCTTTCTTCTTCCTCTTCCTTTTCTTCTTCCTCCTTCCTTTCTTTTTCCAATTTGGTCTTCTCTGTCTCCATTGAGGAGGTTCACTCATCTTTTGTCTTGATGACTACTGTCTCTTTCAAAAACATAAAAACTGTTTTTGTCAGGAGATTCACAGCTTTTGTAGCGGCATCTACTGTATGTATTTATTTCTGGTACTTGTATAGTGCCATCATTTTACGCAGCGCTTTACATATATATTGTACATTAACATCAGTCCCTAACCCTCAAGGGGGGCGTACAATCTAAGGTCCCTAACTCACATTCATACATACACATACTAGGGCCAATTTAGACAGGATCCAATTCACCTACCAGCATGTCTTTGTAGTGTGGGAGGATATGTATGACTCCTGTGGTAAAGGCCTTTTGAATGGAAGGCAAGAAGAGATAGCTATAGTAGCTGATAATAAACAAATACCCCCCCCCCCCCCCCCCCCCCCCCCCCCCCCCCATCCCATTTCTCACAGATGTGCTCCGTTTTTAATAATTGGGTCACTGAGTCATTCTTCTGTGCTTCTGCTTTAGGTCTCTCTTGATATGTATTATGAAGTTGAATCCTCCAATTCCGAATCTGAATATGACAAGCTGAACACTGCTGTGTCTGATGATGATGATTCAACTGAAGGTAAAAAAAGTGGATACGTTTTATTCTGTACACAGACGTGTGCACTTTTGGGTGCATTGTTTTTAAGTGCTTTGACATCAAATGAATGTGCACACTAATATCAGTGTGGTAAGACCTGAATAATGAACCAATCGCACCTTTTTTAAAAACAAGCAAAATAATTGGGGGGGGGGGGGGGCATCAAAACTGCAATACGCTGCAGCACACATTTTTTGTTCATTGTAGTGCATTGCAGTAGGCAGCCTATACATAACTAATAGGCTGCAATGCACCTCAGTGCACAGAAGTAGTGCAGACTACATTTTTTTTCACAGTGCAGCACAAAGGACACTGTGGGGTTAATTTACTAAAACTGAAGAGTGCAAAATCTGGTGCAGCTCTGCATAGAAACCAATGAGCTGACCTTTTTTTTTTTTTTGGTCAAAGCTTAATTGAACAAGCTAAAATAGGAAGCTGACTGGCTACCATGCACCGCTGCACCAGGTTTGCACTTTCCACTTTAAATACCTCATCCCTCTGTGTTGTAATGCAGGGTGTTGCAACATGTGCATTGTAGAGGTTCGTTTGAATACCATTTCAAAATTAATTGTAATGAATGTAAACTGTCTTAGCATGCCATGGGTGCTTTAAATAGGCCCATACTGTTACCATTAATCATAAACCCAAACCCCATGCTACAACCCTTAAAGGGCGACATCATTTATTATTCAGCTTTGTAAATTACACTAAGCTGAACCCCATCTCCAGGTGCTGGGTTATGTCCAATTCAAGTCTGTCCAAGTCTATAGGTTCACCCTGCACTAGATTTTAACAGGTTGGATTGTGAACTACTCAGGAGGCCACCACTGTTGGAAGGGTTCAATTAGTGTTGGTTGGAGGGGGGAGGGATGGGGGTTGGAAGGATTTTTATAATGAATGATTATAAATTTATATGACCAATGAACTTTTCCTTTAGTTACTGGTCCACTTCTTAACCCATGCCCTGAACCTAATATAATCCCTAACCATAACCTTGTTCTAGCCCATACCCTAAACCTGAACACACCCCTTAAAGCAGAACTTCACTCAAAAGGGGAAGTTCCACTTTTCCTCTTCCTCCCAGAGTGTCTTTGAAGGGGGAAGGACAGGGAGCGGTTACCTGATTTTGACACCGCTTTGACCTTCCTCTTTTCCCTGCAGCCTTTTGGGACATGACAGATGTCCCAGGAGACTGCAGGACCTATCATGGGGCAGGTGCAGCAGGCAGCCGGCTGTGGATCCGCAAGCAGTCACAGTTGGCTCCTCACACAGTTAAGATGCTGGAGCCTGGACCAGAAGACGGGATGAAGAGCTTGGTCTAGTGAGCACATCGCTGGATCCTGGCACAGGTAAGTGTGTTTTTTTTAAAAGGCAGCAGCTACAGTATTTTTAGCTGCTGACTTTTGCATTTTTGTTTTACAGGGTGAAGATTCTCTTTAAGTTACCCCTAAATTTAAATGAGATACCCCTAAATGTAATCCTGAATTCAACCTAACTTTTCTTTTTTTTTTTTTTTTTTTTGTTTGTTTGTTATAAAAACAAAAATATCATTGCAGCTGTCCTGATAATACTACTTCCATAATATCTGAACTTCTAAGTTGAATATACCAAAAATTCAAAAAACTAGTCCCAACTAACTTTATATGTAAAGGTAGAAACATCCTTCATTGTGAAATATTGTCCTTTTTATATATTGTTGCAATCTTATCTGTGTGCAGATTTTGTGGTGATAAATGAAAAGGGGGAGCCTTGTATGACATCCAGCTCATCTGCAGAAGTGGACAAGATCACAGCGGGAAAGGACATATCCAACAAACAAGATCCTTGTGCCAGGCTGGTGGACAACTGCCACAGCATCTTCAATGCTATTGACCCCAAAACTGGTAAAGTGACGGAAATGACCACCTTTTTGTGCATTGACTGTGGAAAGAGCTTTACAGACAAAGCTAGGTTTGTGAAGCACCAGAAGACGCACTCAGTAGGGAAGCCTCATATTTGTAACGTGTGTGGTAAGGCTTTTTCGTATAACTCACACTTGATCATACACCAGAGAACTCATGGTGGCGAGAGACCCTTTGCATGTTCCTATTGTGAAAAGTGTTTCACTGATCGCCCATCCCTTGTGAAACATGAGAGAATTCACACTGGAGAAAAGCCATTTTCTTGTACGGTCTGCGGAAGAAGCTTCACTGACCATTCAAATTTGCTGAAGCACTATAGTATCCACACACGGGAGAAGTCCTTCACCTGCCTAGAGTGTGGAAAAAGCTTCACGGACCGGTCCAGTATGGAGAAACACCAGACTGTCCATTGCGGGGGGAGAAGTCCTTCCAGTGTGGTGAATGTGGGCAGAGGTTCACAGAAAACTCTGCTTTGGTTTTCCATCTGCGGAGCCACACTGGTGAAAAATCTTATGCCTGCAAGGAGTGCGGTAAAACCTATTCCTGCAATTCACACCTAATCTTGCATCAGAAAACTCACACTGGTGATAGACCCTTTGTGTGCCACAAATGCGGAGAAAGTTTCATGGACAGCTCCACCTTGGTGATACACCAGCAAATTCACTCTGAGGAGAATCCCTTTGTGTGCCAAATATGTGGGAACAACTACACCAAGAAGTCTGCTTTGGTGAAGCATCAGAGGACCCACACAGGTGAGAAACCAGCTGCACTTAGTGTGACAAGAACTTCATTGACCACTCTTCTCTCTGGTCAAACACCAGGGCACTTACAGTAGTGAAAAGCTATTCACCCTTGTCCAGTGTGGGATGAACTTTTCCGCTCGGTCCACCTTGGTGAAACACCAGAGGACCTGTAGTGGAAAGAAGCCATACACATAACCTGTGTGTGGGAAGTGCTTCTCCTATAACTCCCACCTGGTGGTTTATAGGTGCTTCCCTACAATGGCAAAGCCGTTCCAATGTAATCAAGGCAGCAAAAGTTTAATCAACAGCTCCACCTTGGTAGAGCATTAACGGATACATACTGAAGAATGTTCACAACTATTGAACTTCATTGATAACGTTACCCTGATCAAACACAAAACCATTCGCACTGGGGAGAAGCTGTACTCCTGAAAAGTGTGACAGCTCTATCCTTGTGAAGCATCAAAGAATCCACACTGGGGAGGAAGCCTATACATAGAAGTATGGCAGGAGATTCATTATTGTTCAACTCCTATTAAACATCATAGAATCCATCAGTGAGGAGAACAGGTGGCTGATATGGTTACAGGGTATCTTGGTCAGCCAGAGTCCATCATAGAGCATGCATAGAGCGTGCAAGCATAAATGAGGGCTGAGGTAACCAAGTGAGAAAGCTATTTTTAATTTTGTTAGCCCAACCTGGCGGATGCTGATGAGTTGAAACCCACACTAAGGTCCATGCAGCAAAACCTGAGTGTGACAAAATCTTCTATACACTCTGTTGCCAGTCCTGGTGCTCCACAGCAAACACATATGGCACTTCACTCCACACACTGTACTAATCCGATTACCAGAGAGCCATGACCATCTTGCACAGATATGTCAGAAAAAATGCTTGATTAAAGTAGCAACCTTCTCCAATGAAACTGACCAGCCAAATATGCCTTGCTCTCCAAATATCCCCACGACAAATGGAATACACATTCAGGACAGATTCCCCTCCACCACCTCAGCTGAGTAACTCATATTAATATGTTAGGGTACAAAGCGCACGTCTCATGACGACGTAAAACTATTAAACAGCTTTTATTTAAAATAATTGCACTTAACAATGGTTCGGAAACATCAAACATGTATACCCTTTGTGTTTTGTACCCTTACGGTACATATTACTAGAAGTTACTCAGCTGAGGTGGCTCAGGAAGATCTGTCTTGAATGCGTTTTCTATTCTTCCTTAGGAGATTTGGGGAAAAAGTCATTTGTTCAGCTGATCCGCTCCCTAGAGAAGGTTGCTACTTTAATCAAGCATTTTGTTGGACCTATCTGTGTAAGATGACCTATGACCCTCTAGTAAGCTTATTAGCACACTGTGTATGAAGTAGAAATGTAGAATTTCCAGATATTTTGAAGCCATGGGAATAAGACATATCCCCCCCCCCCTTTCCTTTTTTTTTTTTTTTTTCTGGAAGAATGGAAGTTTTGGAATATGTGAAAAAGCATTCCGTGTGGAGTAGTTTTACAAATTGAAAGTTGTTTGGTTACACTGGGAATTTGAAATGTGGTGTATTAAAAAAAAAAAAAAAAAATTATGGTTGAAATAAAAGTACAGCCTATCCAGTAATGGAATGGAATAACAAGGATGGTATATGTTAAGAACTTTTCAACTATACGTGAGAACAGGTAACCACCCCCCTTTCCCTCATAGTGATGTAAAAGTTTCCTGCCAATATGCATTTGCAGTTATTGACAATACTGATCCAGAAGCATATATTGCTCTTGCAAGAGCTTGATCCATGTTCTATGGATTTGCAGGTGTCATTTTATACAGTCAGGTCCATAAATATTGGGACATCGACACAATTGTAACATTTTTGGCTCTATACACCACCACAATGGATTTGAAATGAAACGAACAAGATGTGCTTTAACTGCAGACTGTCAGCTTTAATTTGAAGGTATTTACATCCAAATCAGGTGAACGGGTGTAGGAATTACAACAGTTTGCATATGTGCCTCCCACTTGTTAAGGGACCAAAAGTAATGGGACAATTGGCTTCTCAGCTGTTCCGTGGCCAGGTGTGTGTTGTTCCCTCATTATCCCAATTACAATGAGCAGATAAAAGGTCCAGAGTTCATGTCAAGTGTGCTATTTGCATTTGGAATCTGTTGCTGTCAACTCTCAAGATGAGATCCAAAGAGCTGTCACTATCAGTGAAGTAAGCCATCATTAGGCTGAAAAAACAAAACAAACCCATCAGAGAGATGGCAAAAATATTAGGCGTGGCCAAAACAACTGTTTGGAACATTCTTAAAAAGAAGGAACGCATCGTGAGCTCAGCAACACCAAAAGACCCGGAAGACCACGGAAAACAACTGTGGTGCATGACCGAAGAATTATTTCCCTGGTGAAGAAAACACCCTTCACAACAGTTGGCCATATCAAGAACACTCTCCAGGAGGTAGGTGTATGTGTGTCAAAGTCAATAATCAAGAGAAGACTTCACCAGAGTGAATACAGAAGGTTCACCACAAGATGTAAACCATTGGTGAGCCTCAAAAACAGGAAGGCCAGATTAGAGTTTGCCAAACGACATCTAAAAAAGCCTTCACAGTTCTGGAACAACATCCTATGGACAGATGAGACCAAGATCAACTTGTACCAGAGTGATGGGAAGAGAAGAGTATGGAGAAGGAAAGGAACTGCTCATGATCCTAAGCATACCACCTCATCAGTGAAGCATGGAGGTGGTAGTGTCATGGCGTGGGCATGTATGGCTGCCAATGGAACTGGTTCTCTTGTATTTATTGATGATGTGACTGCTGACAAAAGCAGCAAGATGAATTCTGAAGTGTTTCGGGCAATATTATCTGCTCATATTCAGCCAAATGCTTCAGAACTCATTGGACGCCGCTTCACAGTGCAGATGGACAATGACCCAAAGCATACTGCAAAAGCAACCAAAGAGTTTTTTAAGGGAAAGAAGTGGAATGTTATGCAATGGCCAAGTCAATCACCTGACCTGAATCCGATTGAGCATGCATTTCACTTGCTGAAGACAAAACTAAAGGGAAAATGCCCCAAGAACAAGCAGGAACTGAAGACAGTTGCAGTAGAGGCCTGGCAGAGCATCACCAGGGATGAAACCCAGCGTCTGGTGATGTCTATGCATTCCAGACTTCAGGCTGTAATTGACTGCAAAGGATTTGCAACTAAGTATTAAAAAGTGAAAGTTTGATTTATGATTATTATTCTGTCCCATTACTTTTGGTCCCTTAACAAGTGGGAGGCGCATATGCAAACTGTTATAATTCCTACACTGTTCACCTGATTTGGATGTAAATACCCTCAAATTAAAGCTGAAAGTCTGCAGTTAAAGCACATCTTGTTCGTTTCATTTCAAATCTATTGTGGTGGTGTATAGAGCCAAAAATGTTAGAATTGTGTTGATGTCCCAATATTTATGGACCTGACTGTATATGAATGAAAGGATTGTGTATTTTTGTGAGGAAATGGTTTGTAACCTTTCCTTAATTGAAGATGCTGCTGGTGAAGAAACAGTTTGTGATGACTTAGAAGCAGCAGGAAGAGTGTTTCTGGAATGAGGGAAAAGCTACTCACACTTTCATTCTGGTCCTCTTCATTGCATTCCATAAAGTATTTTTAATGTCTTTGGAGTACCTCTGGCACGCAGTGATGTGTTTTTCTCATCCTTGTAGTATTTGGAAAATTTCTTCTCACAGAATTTGTAAATTGCAGCTTTGCTTCCAGCAGAGATTGCACTGTGGAAATTGTTCCAAACTCTAGATGTTGGTTTCACCATTTTACTGAGAGGAGAAAAAGAAAAAAACAAACTATATGACATTACTGACCAGACTATAGGGAAACATTATGCTGTGATGGTAGGGAACATTAATAGGAGTCATTTAAAGGTTATAAAGATAAACTAATTTGTCATACAAATTCACCCTTACTTGTCAATTAAGACCCAAGAGGAGGACAAACTATCATCTACTGTATCCCAACAATTGTAGGAGGAGGTACAAGATAGAGCCCTCAAGCAAATGAAACTGGAGCCTTTCCCTTTGCAGTGCCCCCTAGTAGCAGATATGCATGTTTATCTTGTTTGAGAACTGCATTAAGAAGTACAGTGTTACTTGAATTGTATTCCAGGATTTGCTTGTCTTCAGCGGAGAGAACATGCAATAATTCATAAATCTTTGATTAAAGCAGAGTTCCACCTGAAAAAAAAAATGTCAGCAGCTACAAAAATTGTAGCTGCTGACTTTTAAAATACAGTCACTTACCTGTCCCTTGGTCCAACGGTGTCCTCACCATGGCTGGTTTCACTGGCCGTCTTCTCTCCTGGCGCTGGCATCTTCAGTATGGACACCCGGCTGTGACAGCTTGCGGCTTAACACCCGGGTGCCCACTGCGCATGCGCGAGAAGTGCTGCACTTTGTGACTGGTCCGTAGTCTTCTGGGACCTGTTGCGTGTCTGAGAAGACTGGGGAGGGAAGGGGGGGAGGACAACTTCTGCTTCCGATCGCCTAGGCAATCGAAGTGGGAGCAGGTACCTGTCAAATTCGGGTACCCGCTTCCCAAAGGTGCCAATCCTTAATGGGGAGTGGGGGACAAAGGCTTAAAGCAGAACTTCCCCTTTTGGGTGGAGCTCCGCTGTAAGGTCTTTGTTGTTATTATACAGGATTTATATAGCGCCAACAGTTTGCTCAGTGCTTTACAATATAAAGGGAGACAATACAGCAACAATACAGTTCAATACAAGAGGGTTAGGAGGGCCCTGCTCCTTGGAGCTTACAATTGTATGTCATATAGTTTGAATACCATATCATAGATATATTATTTATCATTTTTAAAAGAACATATTCCA